AACATATAAATTCCACCAATCAATCCTAATTCAAAAATAGTAATGGTAGTTCAAAATTGATTAAATATATTCATCAAGAGGCAACTATCAAATATTTAATATCGACTTTTTAGCTTACCAATAGCACCACCAGCCACTCCCAGAGTCCCAAGAACCGTATACGAACTAATGAATAGGACAAAGAAAAACTAAAGATTATAATAAAATGTTATAGAAACCAAAATTTCAAATTTTGAAATGAGTTGTCAGATTTACCGTTTTTCAGATTGCACTTCGTGGAGAAAACTTCCTGGAGCAACATAAAAGTGACCTGTAAAGGGAAAGCTATCATTTGGATGCATTTGAAAGTATTTCGACACAGTAGTAAAGAAAGGTGTACTATGGTAATTAGAAGGTAGGCCGAGAATTGTGGAGATGTCGTCGGGTAAAGTGGACAAGGTGGTTTTCTTAAAGAATATCTGAATATTGGTGTAGATTAAATTTAGTAATAATCATCTATTGAAAAGATAATCGGTGAATTAAAATAACTGACCAGAGCCGATACATTTTGTATGCCCGCGAACGTATTCATTTGTTGATCAAATCGTTTTTTTACTGGATTTGTTGATAATAAATTCTTGTATTCTGTTAAAACATGATTAATATTAATCGATTATATAATGTATAGGTAGAGTCATAGAATATTTTGTATGAAGTATGTTAATCACCTTTATCTAATATTCTGCCTGTAATAGTTCCCACGGACAAAAAATGTTCAACAACAGAGGAAATGTTAAGGATTTTGAAATAAAAGTCAATGCCTCTTGTTGACAACCCTTCAGAGGGATTTCCTGGATCGCTGAAAAAATAACTACTATTAGTCCGAAGAGTATAGCAATACCGAATCTCCTCCCCATTCTTATTCAATAGCGTGACTTTTTCAGATTCAAATATTCTGCTTTCCGAGCTACAGCCGTCAGTAGAGTTTTCGTTATTATTCCAATGGAAAACGCATTTAGATATTTCGATATCA